TACTTGTGTATCAATAAATTACTTTTATAAGGTGCTTGCACAGAAATTTTTATTTGGCCTTAAACTTGGGTAGATAGGATGTAAAGCTCAAAGGGGTACACTACAGAGAGTCTGTATATAAGTATACACATTCCTCCATTGGGAATATCTGCATTTAACTTCTAGATGTCTGTAAGGTCCTTATTTTTATACCCTCGCTGGTGTGGCTAAGTGGTTAGAGCATCGGCCCATGCTCTATCCACTGAGCCAAGGCTAGGGCAGGTGCAATGTTTTTTTAAAGTTTTTTTTTTCCCCAATGTGAAAATTACTACATGAAATGCAAAACCTAAGTGTTAATGTGCTTAGTTTTGATTTAGTAATATTATTGTAGAGCTGCCCTAGTAGGTGCTTAACTTTCTTGACTGACAGAATTGCAACAATAACAATCCTCACTGGAGGACATACTGAGAGAGAGCGAGAGCGAGAGCGAGAGCGAGAGCGAGAGAGAGAGAGAGAGAGAGAGAGAGAGAAGGGGGGAAGGGAAAGGGGTAGGGGAAGGGGAGGGGAAGAAAAAGAGAGAAGCATTGATGTGAGAAACATTGGTTAGCTGCCTTCTGCAGGCACGTACCCCACTGGGGATTGAACCAACAACCCAAGTATGTGCCCTGACCCGGAACTGAACTGGCAACCAAGCGGTGCACAGGATGATAGTAAACCTACTGAGCCAATCCTACTAAGCTTACCTTTTTTTGCTGTCACTATTTTCAGAGAGATATAATCAGTTCTTGGCTACATTCTACAACAATGTGTCCTAATTTTCTGGGACAGTTCCAGTTTAATATATTTGATAAATTATCCCCAAAAGGCAATTGAATATTTCATTGAAAATTCAGCAAGTGAGCCCGCTGTAGTGGCTCAGTTGGTTGAGCATTGTCCCCTGCACTGAGAAGTTGCAGTTTCCATTCCTGGTCAGGGTATATGCCTGGGTTGCAGGTTTGATCTCAGGTCAGGGAGTGCACGGAAGGCAACCCATCTCCCCCCGCCCCCAGGCCCCCGCCCCCGCGTCTTCTCTGTAAGTATGTCCTTTAAAAAAAGAAAACTCAGCAAGCTAATTAAACCAGTAAGTGCTATAATAAAAATGCTTGTCACAAACTAGGATGGATCAGAGTGAAGAACCCTCATACTTAGAAAACAAAAGTTTACCAGCCTGTGTAATACAATTTTTTAGTTAGATATGGTTTGTTAGGTACTTTTCTAGTAAAAAGCATGTGATGCCAAAAGTGACATAACATTGGGATAGCAAAGAAGAATATATATTATGTATGTGGTGCTTACTATGTGCCAAATGATATTCCAGATGATGGGAATAGAGCAGTGAATAAGACAAAGTAAGGTTTCTGCACATGGGGCTTGTATTTGTAGTGTAAGTCGTTGAGTTAGGAAGTGATGGCATTGATTGCTTACATGAGCCATCATATATAGTTATTTTACTGGTAGGTTGGTATGTTTTTGTTGTTTTTTATTTTTTTGTAAGGGCAAAAATTAAGTATATAAAAGTAGACAAAATAATGTAATGAACGCCCCATGGACAAATCATCTAAGTGGCAATTATCAAAACTCAAGGTTAGTCTTGTTTTGTCTGTGCCTTCACTGCTTTTCTCTTTCTCAGATTATTTAGAAGTAAATCCAAGATACCATATTTCAAATGCAAATAAATATTTCAGTGTGTATCTCTAAAAGATAAGCATGCTAAAAGGGGGTGCTTATGCATTAAAATTTTTATTTTAAATATTTTTGTGTTAAATTGTGTGCAAAATATATTTTATTGACATTGGAGAATAAGTAATTTCAAAGAAATAGGGATCCTCATAATCTGTATCCAGCCTAATAATTTCATTGAGTTCATTTTTAGTTAGTTGAAAATGATCCCTTTTATCCTCAAAAACCTTTTAAGTTTTACTTTTTTTTTTTTTTAAATATATTTTATTGATTTTTTTACAGAGAGGAAGGAAGAGGGATGGAGAGTTAGAAACATCAATGAGAGAGAAACATGGATCAGCTGCCTCCTGCACACCTCCCACTGGGATGTGCCCGCAACCAAGGTACATGCCCTCGACCGGAATCGAACCTGGGACCCTGAGTCCGCAGGCCGACGCTCTATCCACTGAGCCAAACCAGTTATGGCAGTTTTACTTTTTAAGTTCTAGTTTTTATTTTTGGTTTGTATGTAATGGTGCCATTGTTTTCTAAGATATTTCTAAAATGGAGTTTCCAAACATACCATTCCGAAGCCTTGTGTACTTTTGTTAGCATTTAGAGAGGAGAATTACATGTGTATAGCTTATTGTAAGATTTGTACAGGAATTTCAAAGAGTGATGATATTTTCATTCAGGTCTGGCATTGCAGGTAACGAAAAGTACTATTTGAACTTTAATAGTATAAGCTTTTGAAAGAGAAATTCTGAAATCTTTGTCACTCATCATGGATTTTATTAGAAAGAAAAAGAAATCCATGAATGTTGTATCTGGATAAGGCATGAACTATCTCTGAAAATATTTTTGCTTTGTCACAGACTCATATAGTCATCTTTATTTCCTTAAGTCTTTTCATATAGGTAGGGAGTTTTCTTTAAGATTAGATGCCTACAGAGCAGAGATGCTATAATGTACTTATATTTGAACACTTTCGCAAAACAGGAAACAGTTTGATTTTTATTGCTAGATACAAGAGCTGTTATTAGGAGTTGCTCCCCCCCCCCCCATCTGTTATTTGGTAAAAACAATTTGTTAAATATATAACTAAATGTGACTCTAGTTTTACTTCTTTGAAAGTTTTACCGTACACATTTTAAAATCCTGAAATAATTTTCTAGTAACTGTGGGAGTTGAACAAAGGAATGGGCTGCTTAGGAAGAAGCTCTCTCTCCATTTATCGAAATGTTTAGGCATATGCACCCCACCATCCTCCAAATAAGCATGTACCAACAAATAAGGATATTGTGGGATGGAATTTCATGGTTTCTTAAAACTGGAGAAATCAGTAATTCTACTTTTATAACAGATTTTGAATTAACATTTTTGAATAATACGTTTTGAATTAGAAAATGTTATAATTTGTAATGTTACTAATTTTGGCTTAATGACATTTTTTAGAAGATTAGCATTTGCTTAGATTTAATTGAAAGCTCTGTGGAAGATAGTGTTTAGAAGAAACTCAATAAATTAATCTGTGTACTATGTTGTTTTAATATATTTAATTGATTTCATAGAGGAAGGGAGAGGGAGAGATAGAAACATCAATTATGAGAGAGAATCATTGATCGACTGCCTCCTGCACATCCCCTACTGGGAATGCGCCCGAAACCTGGCATGTGCCCTTGACTGGAATCAAACCCAGGACCCTTCACTCCACAGGCCGACGCTCTATTCACTGAGCCAAACCAGCTAAGGCTGTTTAGTATGTCTGATGCAAACATATGAAATGTTTCTTATAATTTAATATCTAACATACTAAAGAAGGAAACAACCTTGGAAAAAAATTAGGTAGATATTTTAGCTGTCAAGTAGATATGAACTACTGATTTTATTTTTTCCAAGCACATTAACAAATTTCCTACCCTTTGGGAAGTTTGAATAGGATGTAATAACTTATTAACTGAATAGTTGTAGTTATCAATGCTAAGAAGTAATTTAAGAAATAGACAATTAAAAAAATTTAGTGCTTCACGTAGACTTATGTAAATAGTAAACATTCTTTGAGCACCTAGTTTATACTATTGTGCTAAATGCTTTACAATCTGTTTTTTATTTAGCCCTCACACCAACCTCATGAGGTAGGTATTAAGCTAATTTTACAAATAATAAAACTGAGGTTTAGTAAGGTAAAGTATCCAGCTTTGAATGTTGGGCTTTATGTTTTGTTTTTTTATTTTGTTAAATTAGTTAAGTCATTAGTTGATCATGTCTTACATACTGTGATAGCTTACCAGTTTCTTCCACCTCTATCTCACCCGATATTGATAGAAAGTTAGCATGAGTGCTCAAGAGCAGATTACTTACAGATATGTGCTCTGTATTTCTAGTTTTTACTGTTGATCATCATTTTTGTTCTGTTACTTTACCGAAGCTACTAATCTAAGACCAGTGTTGTTCTCCCTCTGCCCAATTTCCTAACCCCCACAAATAATCCATTCAGTTGCTAAAACGTTAAAACAGTGGTTCTCAACCTTCTGGCCCTTTAAATACAGTTCCTCATGTTGTGACCCAACCATAAAATTATTTTCGTTGCTACTTCATAACTGTAATGTTGCTACTGTTATGAATCGTAATGTAAATGATATGCAGGATGTCTTAGGTGACCCCTGTGAAAGGGTCGTTCGACTGCCAAAGGGGTCGCGACCCACAGGTTGAGAACCGCTGCTTTAAAACATTAACAACATATTACTTTGAAAATTCATTCAAATTTTACATTGGGTTTTCTTTTGTGTCCAAACCTATGAAGTCAAAAACTCTCCTTTGTCCAGAGCTGTGGAGAGATAGCAAAATGTTTCCTCCTGATCTTCCTACCTCAGTATTACCTCCCTATTTGCTGTTGCTAATGTGTAGAAAAGTCTTGCATTTCTTATGAACAGTATACTTTAACAATAGACCAAGGATGTATGCTATCTTAAATGATTTTATTCCTAAAATTCCTAGACAATTAGAGATTAGAGTTATTGTAACACTCTTATTTTCTGTAGTTTATTTATTATTAAAACAATATTTTCTTTTACTTATGATTGATTTTCTGCATTGCTGCATGTTAAACACCTGGTTTTCTTCATTGAACGATTTTATTTCCTTTAATCCATGTGAAGACCGTACTGTTAGTTATATTCATGTTATTTCATTAAAGCATTTTTGTTTGTTTATACATTTACTTTATTTGATTAAGGATAAGATCTCCTGTGCTTTTTTGAAACCTTTCCAAAACCAAATAGAGAAGTTAGTGATTGTTGTATATTTCTTTTTGTCTGTTTTAGGATGGCTACCGTAGAGTAGTTAATATTGTGACAAAGAAACCACCACTGCTAGACAGACCGGTTGAAGGAAGCTACAATAGATATTACAGTCATGTTGATTACCGAGACTATGACGAGGGCCGCAGTTTTTCTCATGATCGAAGAAGTGGTCCACCTCACAGAGGAGTATGTAAATTTACCCCATATACTAATTGTTACTTTTTTTATAAGTTTAAAAGTCATGTAATTTTTAAAATTTATGTGACTGGCCATGAAGGCAGTTGAATAAACACTTCCTGCTTGATGCTCTGTTGAATTGCCTGCTGGAGCTGTCAAATGGGAACTGGTAGTGAAGAATCTTGGGGTGCTGGACAAAGTGGGTAAGCACTCTGGAGAGCTTTATCTAAATGACATTAATTCCAACTAGCCCACATCATCAGGGATTTGCAGAATTAGTTAAAGGTAATCTGTTCCCTTGGTACTCAGTAAGTGATGACCAAGTGGTTACCATTTCTTACAAATGTGCCCACTTATAATTACTTTGCTTATTTTTAGCATGATGAAATGCTGTGGGTGAGGTTGGGTTAAGGTTGAGTCTCTGTTTCATTTTTGCTATAGTTATTAAAATTTATTTACTAATTCAGATTAGAAAGCACTCAAAACATCACCTTTCCCATAGTAAGCACTTTTAAAATGTTGGCTGATATCATTACTATTTTGACTGCTGTTATATTGTTTTTTGTGATCATCTTTAATAATATAAAACTATGTATTTAATGTTGCAGTGATCTGTCATTGAACTTGATTGAAAATATTCCTTGATGCAATTTCTTTAATGTAGCTTGCATGTTTCCTCTGCTAGGCCATTTTCCTACATGATCTCTTTCCCCCCTTCCCTATTGTATAATATTGTAGTTGACAGTACCTATTCAAGCATTTCTTATGATAAAATTTGACCTTACATTTGCTGTTGGAATTAGTTTCCATACTTTTCACTTGAAGAAATGGAGGTAAGGTGACTTACCTAGGGTGGGTATACATATGGGAGTCCAGTTCTCTCACTGCCATGTTGTGGTTGCGCTGACAATTCTATAGTGGTAATGAGACTATTCAGTGTTTTCTTACGTTTGCTTTGAAAGTTTGGAGTGTTAGGATTTCCTTCTCATAGAATTAATTTTTATTTTATTTAATTTTAACATGTCATGCTCTTCCTTTAGGAAGAGGGATTCCATTTTGAAAAGTAAATATGCATTATCCCTATCCTAGAAATACAGGATTTTGCCATCAGAGCCCTTATTCCAGGTAGTCTCAGGAAGAAACAGTTTGGTCTTTGCATAAAGTTGTTAACCCTCTTGTGAAAACCCTGTGGCCATTTGCTGCTGTAGAGAGGGAATTTTGGATTCAGTGGACCGATTTGTATTTGAATCCTCACGAACATGATTTTTTTCTAAAACCTTGTAGCATAATAGTGCCTCAACAATAATTTTTTCTATTGATATAAATAGTGTTTATACTGTATAAAACATTTCCTCTTTAAATTCTCTTCAAACAAACAAGCCCACTTGAGATTCTTAGGACTTTTATGATACTGATTCTTTTCTAGACTTTAGTCATATAGTGCAAACTACTTACTTGATCCAATATTTAATTATAGCTGTTGAGTTTTTTCTTTTGTTTATATTTAATGTTGTGAAGAAAAATGATGAATAGACTTTATATAAGAGCAGAGTCTGTGATGCTAAAGGAAATGAAAATAGTATTTATTTAGCTGAATCATTGTTTCTGATTGTAAGTAATTTACATGTTGTATTGTTCTGTGTATAATTTTAAATTAATTGGGTGTGGATTATTATGTGTTTCTTTTTTTATGAACCTTTTCAAATGTGTCTATCTTAGAGGACAAAATTTATTTGCTTTCTTTGATTAATTTCAAACTTAGTGCCACATTTAGCTCTAACATAGCTTATCAGTAAGGGTGGTTTCTTGTTTCCAAATTGAATAGGAGGTAAGATGAGAAATGAAAACTTGAGAGAAAAGTGGGAAAGTACTAAATTTCTTATTGAGCTTGAAAATTGATGAGATAACTTGACATACGAATAAAATGAAAGGCCAAGAAACATCTACTTAATTAAATTTAAATTGAGCCTTTGTTCTTGAACAGCCCTTAGCTATTGTTATGTTGGTATATATGTCCTTGGCAGTAAGACTGTTAGGGCCTACCAGAGAAATATTTAAGCATTTTCATTGAAATAAATGGTACCACAGATTCTCAGTTTATTACTAATTTAGTTGTTGAAATGGATGATTTGTATATTTTTTATTTTATGCTTTTTAGCCTCAGAGAAATTTAGAAAGGTGTTTTGTCTTCATATTATTTTGGTCTTAGAGACTAGGTTCCTAGTACTACTGTTAGATATATTCTATGTGACCAAAATAACACAAATAAATATCTAAGTATCTTTTTATTTTACAGGATGAATCTAACTATAAGTGGACAAGAGATGATCATTCTGGAAGTCGTCAGCCTGAATACAGGTAAAAAGATGAAATTAATAACATAACTACTTTGATACTTGACTCATGAGATATAGTAGGTCCTTGGGTTACATCGGAGATTCGTTCCTATGGCCGACATAACATGATTTTTGCTGTAAGTCGGAACCCACCTACATAAGCACCTATGTCACTCACATGGAGCACATACATAGCAGTAATGAAGTGAAACAGTAAAAAAAATTTAAAAGAAAGATAACAATTCCTTACTTGTGGTAAATAAATAATAAAAAACATAAAGCACATATGTACATACGGCAAAATGATGGAACTTTTTTTTTATAAATAAACTAGAGGCCCGGTGCACGAAAATTCATGCACTGGAGGGGGGTGTCCCACAGCCAGGCCTGCCCCCTCTCACAGTCCGGGAGCCCTCAGGGGTGGGAGGCGACCTGGCGATCAGGGGAAGGCGATACCCCATCATGACACCTCTGCTGCTGCCACTGTCGGCAGCGCAACCCTCGGCTGGCCTTGGTTACCTGAGCCTTGGGTGGCTGGGCAGCTGACATCTGAGGCTTGCCTGCACCTTGTGCCGGCCCTGGGCGGCTGGGGGACTGGGGGGACTGGGGGACTCTGGAGGCAGGCGCGAGGAGCGGCTGGGCCCCTGCTGCCCCGGCGGGGCTGAGGGGACTGGGTGCTGCCATCTTGTGGCTGTGGGCGCCGCCATCTTTGAGGGTGTGGCAGTCAATTAGCATATCTCCTCCTTATTGGCTGTGGGCGCCTCCATCTTTGAAGGTGGGGCAGTCAGCATATTCCCTCCTTGTTGGCTGTGGGCGCCACCATCTTTGCGATGGTGTGCTGGTCAGTTAACATATTCCTTCTTTATTAGATAGGATGGGAGATGGTGACGTAACCACGAAACGACGTACGTCGAGTCTGATATAACTTGAGGACTGTCTGTATCTAACCTCAAAGGGGCTTCTGCTCAAGGTGGCAGTGTAGATAAATGCGGTACTCGTATTCTTCCACAACCACATCAAAATTACAAGTAAACTACAGAACAAGCATCATTCAGAACAGCCTGAAATCTATCTAGTTGAACAAAAGTTCTATAACTAAAGATATAAAGAAGAAGCCAAATTGAGACTGGTAGTAGGGACAGAGACACAGAATTGGCTGGTTCCATGCCACATGTGGTGGTTAAAAATCGGGAGGCTCCCACTAAGGAGTGAGGGGTTCTGTCCCACGCCAGGATTCACTCGCCAGGGTTCCGGGCCCAGAAAAGTAAAAACCAGTGGGGATTGTTGTTGAGTGAGACACAGGGCTGCTGGAGTCCCAGGCATTCCTCTTAAAGGGCCTGTGCTTGGGCATCAGCAAGAAAGTTGCCAGGGAGATATGAGGAGGAATTAAATTTTGTGACTTCAGGATGAGGGCTGGAGGGGCAGCTTTCCTCCCAGACAGATGTGGCTGGCAGAGGCATTGTTCCTTTGCTGAGCCCTCTCCCTACAGGCTGGCAGGTGGGTGAAATATATGAGTCTCCATCAACCTGGCTATCACTGTTCACCCTGCCCTGGTGAGTCCCTGAGACCCTGTCCCACACCAAGTCGTTTCCAGAACTTAGTGAGAACTTCAACAATTTTGGGCCCACCCAAATCATTTCCAGTGGCTTTTCCATACAAATGGCCTGTCTTGGCTAATGTTGTAGACTTTCCTAAAATCTCTCAATGGTTCACATACCTGAAACAAGCAGCATTTGGCCTTTGTGTGCCCACTATCTCTTACTAAGTGGCCGCAGGACCAGCACAAGCAGCAGCTGGCCTTGGTTCCTGGGTACCTCCAAGCCCAGCACAAGCAGCAGCCATCTACAGATTGCTCTATTACTCATAGTGGGTGGCCCTACGCAGAGCACAGGTGGCGGCTGATCTTGACCTGCACTTTCCAGGAGGACCCCGAGCCAGCACACCCCCAGACAGTTTCAGACCACACGAGAGCACCACTCAACCACCTCCATGAATGACATATTCAAAGGGTGAACTCATTGGACCAGAGTCCCATTGAAGTGAATTTTGCTCTGTGGAGTTGGCCCCTGCACAGCAGCTCCTCTTCTGTAGTTACAGCCAGTCCTCACAGCCAATTGGCCTGGGGATAAATACCTCCCATTAATGTGCCAATAGCAATCAAGGCTCAGCTACACAGGAAGATGCACACAGCCCAAATGGGGGTGGTGCGTGTAGAAGGGAAGCACACCTGGAGCATCCAGTTTGGGTTACTTGGGAGGCTCTGCCACTGGACCCTACAGGACGCCTACTACCCACTCTACCAAGACTGTGAAACCTAACAACTCTACCTAATACATAGAAACAAATACAGGGAGGCAGCCAAAATGAGACAAAGAAACATGTCCCAAATGAAAGAACAGAACAAAACTCCAGAAAAAGTACTAAACAAAATGGAGACAAGCAATCTACCAGATTCAGAGTTCAAAACACTAGTTATAAGGATTCATAATGAACTTAGGAGAAAAATAGAAGAACTTAGTGAGAACTTCAACGAAGGGATAGGAAACATAAAAATGGAGATGGGAAATATAAAAAAGAATCAGAAATGAAGAATACAGTAACTGAAATGAAGAACACATTGCAGAGAATCAACAGTGGAGTAGAAGAAGCAGATGATCAAGAGATTTGGAAGATAAGGAAGCAGGAAACACCCAGTCAGAACAGCAAAAAGAAAAAAGAATTTAAAAAGATGAGGATAGTATAAGGAGCCTCTGGGACAACTTCAAGCATACCAACATTTGCATCATGTGGGTTCTAGAAAAGAAGAGAGAGAACAAGGAATTGAAAATGTATTTGAAAGAATAATGTCAGAAAATTTCCCTAACCTGGTGAAGGAAAGACATACATGTCCAGGAAGTACACAAAGTCTCAAACAAAAACAAGATGAATCCAAAGAGGCCCATATTAAGACACATCATAGTTAAAATGCCAAAGGTTAAAGACAAAGAGAGAATCTTAGAAGCAGCATGAGAAAAGTAGTTTGTAACCTGCAAGGGAGCTCCCATAATACTGTCAGCTGATTTCTCAACAGAAACTTTTCAGGACAGAAGGTATAGGCATGAAATATTTAAAGTGATGAAAAGCAAAGGACCTACAACCAAGATTACTTTGCTCAACAAAGCTCTCATTTAGAATTGAAGGTCAGATAAAGGTCTTCCCAGACAAGAAAAAGGAAAAAGCTAAAGGAATTCATCACCACCAGTATTATAAGACATAGTAAACAGTCTTTAAGAAGAAGAAGAAAAAGATAAAAAAATATGAATGCCTTGGCTAGGTGGCTCAGTTAGTTGGAGCATCATCCTGCACATCAAAAGGTTGTGGGTTTGATTCCTGATCAGGGCACATACCTAGGTTGTGGGTTTGATCCTTGGTTGGGGTGTGTATGGGAGGCAACCGATGGATGTTTCTTTCACATCAATGTTTCTCCCTCTCTCTCTTAAAATCAATAAAATATATCCTTAAGTAAGGATACAGTAAATTATATGAATAATGGTGTTAAATACATACTTAACAATTACTTTAAATGCAAATAAATAGATTAAATGCTCCAATCAAAAGACATATAGTGGCTAAATGGTTAAAAAAAAAGACCCTTACATATGCTATCTGCAAGGGACTTGCTTCAGATGGAAAGACACACACAGACTAAAAGTAAAGGAATGGAAAAAGATATTTCATGAAAATGGAAATAAACAAAAAACTATGGTAGCACCCAGGTGGTGTTCCTTAGTGGTTAGAGCATCATCCCATGCACTGAAGGGTCATGGGTTCAATTCCAGGTTAGGGCACATTCTCAGATTGCAGGTTTGGTCCCCAGTTCGGGTGTGTGCATGAGGTAACCAGTCAGTGTTTCTCCACACATCCTAGTCACATAGGTGGACTATATTTCCCAGCCTTCCTTCCATCTAGATGTGGCCATATGATTAATTTATCTCCAGTAAAGTGTAAATAGGAGTCCTGCTTCTACATGTGTTCTTCCACGCACATTGACCTTTTCCCATGTTGCAGGGTGGGTCCTGGAATGGAATGACAGCAGACCCGTGGCCTTGGAAGCCACATGTTGAAATAGAGTGGTCAGCCTCGGTTTCTGGATGATTGCATGGAGTCTCTCACCCTGGCATGCCTGCCCTAGACTGTTTGATGGTAGCTAGACTTCTTTTGTGTAGTGACTGAACCCTGCATTTTTGGGTATTTTTGTTATAGCTATTTAAGCTTATTTTATCTCTGTAACAATACTCAGTGTTTTATCTCTTCGTCCATATCTCATGCCTAGAATACTTTTAAGCGTAAAGATGTGGTTTTGTGGAAAGGGCTCTGAACTTGGTCATCAAACTTCTAATCACAACTCTGCTGCACGACATTTATTTTTGTGGGTAGTGTAGAATAAAAGGTAATATGGGAACTCCCTTCACTTAAGTCACAGCACCCTAGTTCTAAAGTTTCTAAAACAAGATATATGAGGTTTAAATTTATTCTTAAGTTTTCCCGACTAGCTGCTTTTTCAAATGATTCCCACAGTCTTAATTCCTTTTTGAAGTTCATGTTGACTAGAAATGAAGTAGTCGGTATTTTGTGTGGAATATTTGTGTTGGATGTGCAAAGGAAAGAAAAATGAGGTCCCAGATAAGTGAAATGCTGTCTTTCTCCCCTTTCCTCTCTCCTCTTACATCACTGCCTCCTACTTTAATTGAATTTTACTCTTAACTGGTAAACATATGTCTGCTTAAACGGAGGGGTCCATCACAACTTGTCTGGTGTGACTGATGTCATGGGCTGAAATTACCTTGAGGGGATGCATATTAATAGGTGAGAATTCTGAGCTTTATAAATCGGCTTTCGCAACCAACATCCGAGGTAAATATAGTGCAGATAGTTTCAAGACTACATTCTGAGGAACGGTGCATTATAGGGCATTAGTTCTTCCCATCTTCCATTCTCCAGGTAACTTTGCCTCCTGTGTGTGTCCAGCATTATGGCTGAAAT